CCCCAAAACCCCAAAACCCCAAAACCCCAAAACCCCAAAATATGATACAAAGTTGAATTTAATCATCAAACATCCTATTATTCTCAACTCCAAATCCCTGTGACTTATACTCTCTCTTTGCTTTTCTCTGATAATAACTTTGTTTTCTCTTCTTCTGGGCTTGCCCAATTTTCCTGTCTTCTTCTCTTTCCAGTCTATAATTCTCGAGAACTTCTTCTCTATCTTCTTTCTTATCCTCAGTTATTCTAATTGCTTCATTTTCTAATACATAACGCTATAGATTATGGAATCAAAGCTACATCTAATTTCTCATCTGGACTATTTGCAGTCTTGACTAGATCCTCATCTTCCAATTCTTTGAGACGATGACTATTGAATGTTATGTCAGTGCTTACTTAATGCGGTTCAAGGTTTCATCTTGATGAACATATGGATTTTCTTCATCAGGATAGCTATATTGTCCCTCATTTTCATATTCAATTTTCTGGTAGGCAAGAATTCTTCTTTCTTCCTCAGTCATGTGATCCAACTCATCTTCTATCTTTGCCTTGGCTTCTAAAATTTCATCCTCAGTCATGTCCTTATATTTTCTTTTGATACCATATTTTTTCTCAAAATTTTCCCTAAGCTCATCTTCATGCTTTTCTTGCTTCTTCTTTTTATCTAAGAAACTAGCCTTAGTAAGTGGTGGTACCCTCAGCTCTTTTTCTGAAATCCCAAGATCTTTCAAAGCCTTCTTCATCCCAGGAGTAATGTCTTGACCTTTGTTTTTAAGATCTTTTAGAATATTTTCTGCAATCTCTTTTCCTTCATCATGGATTTCTCTTTCAAAATCTTCGAGGTCTTTTACAGTCTTTATTTTCTTGATCTTTCTTTCATTCTCCCTCTTCTTGACCTCGAATTCTTGCTTTGATCTGTCGTACCCATTAGCTAGAATATACATTTCGTTACTTTCTGCACGAGAAGCAGATGGCTTCACTTTGACAACACTGTGGAATTTGTTGAGGTAAGCTTCAACAACTTCATTTATTGTTGGCCCTCTCATTACTTTGACTAAAGCTTGACCACCAGGTTTTAGGAGTTTCTTTAAACTCCCAAGGACCATATAGTTCAAGTCTCAGGCAGAAATGTGGTCAACGTATTTTTCTCCGATAAAATCTGGCACAGCATCGCTACAAACAAGGTCAGCTTTGTTAAAGTCTAGTGCTTCTGAAATTTTCTCAACAATAGAGTCTTTAGTGATATCCCCTTTTATAAAAGTGACACCTTTGAGGTAATTCATGGGTAAGAGATCTCAAGCCACCACATTTTTATCCTCCTCTGTTTCATTAAGTTTTTCAGCAAGAACTTGTGACCAACCGCCAGGCGATGCTCCGATATCAATTGCAGTCATGCCATATTTGAGAAGGTTGTGTCTCATATCAATCTCTAAAAGTTTGTAACTAGCTCTGCTTCGGTATGCTTGAATTCTAGCCATCTTCACAAAATGATCATTTGTGTGCCTTCTCATCCATTTTTGACCTCCCTTCTTCATCTTTGAAGAAAATCAAGCTCTCTGAAATCAAATGGGGCTTCCGTACGATGACATTCTGAAAAATAAATTAGGGCTTTGTTTTATGGATAACATTATTTTATATTCAATTATTTAATAATTTTTGGGGTTTTGGGGTTTTGGGGTTTTGGGGTTTTGGGG